TGTGTGTAAATCAGTGATCTGGGGAATTGCATAGCTATATCTTTGATTTTTCATTTCTCTTTCATTAAGGTGAGCTGTGGATGCTGGTGATTTTGATAATGAGTTTTAAAAAGGAAGAGTTGCTGAAACAAATTGAACTCTTAAAAGGCCCCATCCTCCTACTTGTTAAAATTTTAGCTCTAGTTACACAATGCTTGAATTTGAGAATAAGTCAATATCTTAACATGAGTGTTGGAAGCCAGTTTTATTTGATAAATATTTATTAATCACTTCCTGTGAGCAGTGTTCCTATCTGAAGTACAGTAATCACAAAAAGGACAAAACTCATCCTTGAACTGTATGGGACAAGGCCAGTCTTTTCGTTATATAAATAATCCCATAATAAACACCTACATAAGCCACATGAGTGGTGCAAAATATTGTGGTGATTCAGAGATGGTAGATAATATGGGCATGCTTTTCCTGAAGAAGTTGCTTTAAAGCTAGGATGTGAAGGAGGTGGGGCTTCTGTGAGGTATTTGAGGTGGAAGGAGTGATGTGAGCAGAGTGCTAAGGAAGAAAGTAGTCTGCTGTGTTTGTCAGCTAAGATATGTTTCTGGGGAGAAAGAATTTTGGAGATGTTATTTGGGGTTGTATTGTGGGTTTTATTTAATGCCATCCTAGACCATTGTTGTGGCAATGCAAATAGAAAAGAAGGGATTAGCTTGAGAGGTTTTCTCAGAGAGAACTTGTAGGACTTGGCAACTAATAGAATGGGAAAGGTCTGGGTGAAGGAGGGGTCAAGGATGATGTCAGGCTTCTAAGTTGAGGGAATTTTGGAGAGGGCAGATGGAAATCAGAAAAGCTGGTTTTCATTCTGGCCTGTTTTGCAGAGGCAAGGATTATTGTCGGAATTGTTATGAACATTTTTTTCTTTCTCAGCTTCAGGAATACTGTTTTGTATGACTATGTTTTATATATAGGGTGTGTATTTAAGAGAGATGATGGCTCCCTAAAGAAATCATGGAGAAAATGCCTGTTAACAGCTTTGCTGTATAATGCATTCATTGTGTCTAAGTGAGTTATTCCAAGAACCTTTTAGTCCGTCTCAAGTTGTTTGAAAATGGGAAAAGGGAGAATTTGTAGGCATACTGATGTTGGCACTGAGTTTTTCATACTGGAAGTCTTTTTTATCCCTGAAACTGTTCTTGAAAACATGGAGGCTCCCCGGGTTTTCTGGAATCCCAGTGCCCCAGACCAGGGCCGCAGATGGTCAGCGCATCCACGAAGGGTATCAGTCCTCAGGAGCGGTATGTGGTCTGTGTAGTACAGTGCTGTATTCCATAGACCAGCAGCATGAACACACTTTTTTCTCTTCCTTGTAGATGCTCTCCATGAAGGCCTGAACCCTGTCTGTGACTGTTGAATCCCTAGCACTTGGCATTATGCCTGATACACATTAGACTAAAAAAGTATAAATGAAGTGATGATACATTCCTCCCATAGTTGTGGCTATCACATCTGTCCTGTTTATTAATAACCCTGTGATATACAGATTTTGAACTAACAGATACGTTTTGAAAGATAATGTGATGGCCATTTATTAGAGAAAACTTGAATAATGGGTCCTATATATGTGATTTACCATTTATATATTTTAATACATGAAACCCACAGTTGAATGCTTTTATCTAGATTGTCTACTGACACCACACTTGGTCTTTGACACCCATTAGTTGCAGTCCGAGCAAGCTATACGTACTTTTTACATTGACAGCCGTAAGTCACTATTTTATACTGAATTTTGAGCAATAGCTCATGTGTGAAAATCAAGGCATGACAGGATGGTGTTACGTGTCAGACAGCAGTCTAGTGGAGTCAGCATTACCGTCTTTGCCTCTGTCACCTTGAACCCAGCACTGCTCCAAGCTGAGGCCAAAGATGTATGAAGAATTTCCATCTTTATCCTAATTGTATTATGTTTTTGAAATCTAACATTGATAGTTCATTTTTTATTTCCCCCTATTTCCAGAAGTACTATCCATTTTGTAAAAAATCTTCCAGGCTAAAGCATAATATATCATTAAGTAAAAATTATTTTATAATTTTTTACAGAATTATGTTTTTCTTTTTCATTTTTAAAGTTTTTATATATTTTTATTTTTATTTCTTTTGAGATGGGGTCTGTCTGTGTTGCCTAGGCTAGAGTATGGTGGTGTGATCACAGCTCTGGCTTCTCAGTCTCCCTGGCTGAAGCAGTCCTGCCACCTTAACCTCCCAAGTAGCTGGGACAACAAGCACAAGCCACCATGCCTGGCTAATTTTTCTTTTGGTAGAGGTGGGGTCTTGCTATGTTGCCCAGGCTGGTCTCTAACTGAACTCAAGCAGTCCTCCTGCTTTAGCCTCTCAAAGTACTTGGATTACAGATAAGAGCCACTCTGCCCAGCTGAGAATTATGTTGTTTTAATGTAGCATTTTTCAGATACAGCTAGTGCTCGACTTACGACCACGATTGGTTCCGACAGACCAGTCGTAACACGATTTGGTCGTAAGTTGAGTAGGCTATATGCACGCGGAGATGGTAGTGCTGCCGGAAGCTGGTCCGCACTGTCGTACGCCCAGCTGGGCAACGTTTGCGCTGCCAGACGCGGAGCAGTCGTGGCTAGCGATTGTGGTCGTAAAGTCGAATGGTCGTAAGTTGCATAGGTCGTAAGTCGATCAATACCTGTACAGTGTTATGATAGGGAACCCAACGACCTGATTAGACCAGCTTGGCAGAGAGACCAATAAATTAAAATATCAGGATACTGTTAATTGAAAATCAGAAGCAAAGGAAAAAATACTTAAATAAAAGATCATATTAATTTAAAATGAAATTGTGTGCTTTTACAAAACTTTTTCAGGAAAGCACATATTGTGCAAAGTGAATCCATAGCTGTATTAAAAGAATTAGTAATGGCCATTCCAGGTTGATTTTTTTTTTTTTTTTTTTTTTTTTTGCTAATTATAGATATTTAAGTTCTAATAGCATAAAGCATTTTTTTTTTCTCGGATGTTATCATCCCTTGGTTTTACATGTTTTAAACTAAGCTGTAAATTTAGCTTGAACAATTTTAATAACATTTCTAAGGATGTATCTCAAAAAGCAATTTAAAAGAAATACTGAGCTTTTGAAGTCAAACACAACCCCCTTTCTTACAAAAGCAGTGAACTTATTTTAGCTGAACATTTCTTTGCCCTGAAGCAGAAATTTCCCCACAGGGTAGATATTGTAATGATGGAAACCTTAGGTTAATGTGACCATTTTATACTAGTCATTTATAATCATTTGTGAATGGAATGGCGATTGACAAATGCACTTACTTTAATGTGGGCCTGGACTTATAATATACATGGATCAACTTCAGGTGCCCATGTCCGTCTTCTCCATGTGGAGTACGATTGTACCTTCCCTCCCCTCCTGCGCTGGTCTTTGTTTTGGGTGACCAAGCTGTGAGATCTTCAAGATCAAAGATCACATCATGTTGTGTCTGTAGCCCCAGCATGTAGAGCAATGCCAGGCGGCAGTGTGTGGTTAATAAATGTTGGTTGAATGAATACCTGGTTGACTCTATGTATGTATGTCTAGTAAATGGTGTTTGCAACTGACAGCCTTTTTGAAAAAAACATTTTGAATAGTTAAAAGTTTATAGGAATTTCCCCCTCCCATCTCTCAGATACAGGAAATTCCTTATTTCCTTCCTGGTAATAAGGAATTTTTCCCACCGGCAGCATATTACATGATGCTTTTCCCACTGGTAACATCTTACATGACATAGTACAGTGCCAAAACCAAGAAATTGGCATTGGTATAATCCATAGACCTTCTTCGGCATCACTGACTTTACATGCACTCATTTGTGTGTACTTTGCCTCAGTTCTATGCAGTTTTATCACCTGTATTGATCTGCATGGCTGTCACCAAAATCAAGATACAGATCGTGTGTATGTGGGGTTCCATGCCCACAAGGCTTCCTTGTGCTACTGTTTTGTAGCTAACCCCAACCCCTCATAACAGGATTTTAATCATCCTGACCTTGTGCTTTACATTAGCTTTTGCAATAACTGTGGCATGAAGAGCTATAAGATGTTTCTGTTCATTAAGAGACAGCAGCAATGATTGTATCTGTATCCGTTCCCCAGTCCACAGATCATCCCTCATCCATGATCAGTTTATACATTTAAAAAAAATTATCTTAAAGTTGGCTTTCCTAGAGTAATGAATTGTCAACATTATGATAATGCGAGTCCACTCCTATTAATCAGAACTTAGAGACTACATGTTGTGTTCATTATCCAGAAAATGCATCAAGTTGCAAATCTTAAATAGAATGCTAAAAATTGGGATCCACAGTATTAATGAGTTAAATATTGAAAAGTGCATCTTAGAAAATGTTTCTGTGACCAAAAAAAAAAAAAAAACACACACGCTCATATGCAATGAGTTGGAGTGTTCAGCAGCATTTAACTGGCGACTGTGCATGTCTTGTGCATAATTGAGGCTGTAAAGATGGATGCATGTGGTAGATGTGAGGGGTCTAAATGTGTGAGTGTGTATTGTAAGGGAATCTGTCTCTTCTAACATACAGCAGGCTTGATTGCAGATACAGTGATCCATGTTTATGTAAGCAAGGTGGAAACTTCTGATATAGAAGGAAAAAGGCCGGGGTTTATGGATGTTTTTCCTTCAGGAAATAGTTCACATTTTCAAGAAAGAAAATCTTTCACGCTCATGTCACCAAGATAAAAACAGACAACATGGTCAAGTTTACACTTGGTTTATACATTTGTCAAAATGAGAGCTGTCTTGTTGGCATGAGAAAGAAGGCACTTTTTCTACATCCTCTTTCCTGTCTTATTCTTTCACGTTTCATTGTGCTGGAAGATCGGGTCCCAAGGAAGTTCCTTAGGAATTTCATCACTGTCTTCTGCTGACTCTGCTTCTTCCTTCTCTTCCTACCCTGCCTCCTGTCCCACTACAGGGACTTGCAAAGTGAATGTCTATGAGGGCAGAAGCCAGCAAGAAAAACCTGTTTTGCAAAGAAAAGCCTCCAGGCCACACTCCCCCGTCATCAGGATACAGAAATCTTGCCACATCCTCAGGTTGGAAAACCTTCCTGGGAACACTGTGTTCCTGCTGGTGGCGTTCATATGTTTGTGTGTGCACTGTGTGGGGAGCTGGAAGCCTGAGGGTGGGCGTGAGGACCATGAGTCTGGGTGTCAGGCAAGGCCTTTAAAAATAACTTGTTTTTCATTTTTTGGTACATAGCCTCCCTGTTCTAGTTTATTAACAATGAATTTTTAACTCTTATGTTAGGTACTGTGGGAAGTTAGAAAAGTCCTTCTTTAAAGAACTAAGAGTCTCTTCAGAGGATTTATCTACAACTGAGAGAAAAGGAGAGTTACCAGAAATACAAAATAGGTCACGGAATATTTAAGTATGGAGAGGATACATTGTTAAAATTATGGAAGTGGCTTGAGGGAAATCTATGAAGACAGAGAGTGGATGGTGTCAGATGGTTCACAAGGAGCTGATGAACACTGGGCCTTGCAGATGGGAGCGTTCTGAGGCAGGAGCTGGGGGCATGGCTGTGGCTTGCTGGTTAATTAGTGTACTGGACCAGTCAGACATCTTTGGTTCAAGTTCTTTTACCACTAGACCTCTTAAAGTGAGATTCTTCCTTGACTATAAACTCCCATGTTACATTAAAGTTATGAATAGTAAATAAAATGTTTATGAAAAAGTAAGAAAGCTTTCTAAATTGCAAAACCCTATACAGATTTGAATAATTACTCTCAGATTACCAGTCTTAGAAATCAAAATTTTAAAAATTTGTATACAATTTAAAACTGAAGACCATCTGAAAAGATGCTGATATTTACCCATTTTTAAGAACATGAGGCCAGGAGCAGTGGCGCATGTCTATAATCCCAGCACTGTGGAAGGCGAAGGCCACTGCGGATCACAAGGTCAAGAGATCGAGACCATCCTGGCCAACATGGTGAAACCCTGTCTCTACTGAAAATAGAAAAACTAGCCAGGCGTGGTGGCATGAGCCTCTAGTCCCAGCTACTTGGGAGGCTGAGGCAGGAGAATCACTTGAATCCATGGGGCGGAAGTTGCAGTGAGCTGAGATTGTGCCACTGCACTCAGGCCTGAGTGACAGAGTGAGAGTCAGGTCTCAAAAGCAAGGAGGAAGACAAATTTATGGTACAGTTTTTTGTTTTGTTCTCATTTGTTTGTTTTTAAATATGATGTCTGAATGAAGCCAAACAAAAAGCAGGTACTACACAGTTTTTTAGAAGTAATCATTCCCTCACAAATTTTGAGAAAAGCTGAAGAAAATCATAATCATTCTAAAAATTCATTTCTAATGGGTCAAAGGAGGAATGTATTTTTCATCCTAAAATCTGCTGTCATTTCATATTCTATTTTCTTTGAGACAATTTATCGGGCACATATTTAGATGCCAGCTCCTGCAATGGGGATCAGAAATAATCATCATCCCTGCAGTGGTGCAGATAGCCACATTATTATAAATACAGTCAACCCTCTGTTTCCAAGGGCTTCTCATACACAAATTCCACCAACCAAAATTGAAAATATTAAAAGACAGACAACATAAATTTTAAAATGCAGCACAACAACTATGTGTATAGCATTTGCATTGTATTAGGTATTATATGTAATCTAGATATGATTTAAAGTATATGGGAGGATGTGCATAGGTTATATGCAAATGCTACATACTACTACTGTTTTACATAATGTACTCAAGCATCTTTGGATTTTGGTTTGTGGTGGAAGTCCTAGAACCAATACCCACAGATACTGAGGGATGACTATATATATGTATCACTTCCACCCGAGAGCTGCTGTTGAATAAAGGGAAAAATTCTAGGCTAGCTTATAAAAGGAAACTAGTGAGGCTGTGTTCCCTTGAGGAAGTAGTATTTGACTACAGATATGAGGTAAGCTGTGGGATAAAAAGGCCTGGAAAGCAGAACAGGGGTATATGGATTGGGATAAAAATTAATTGCTAAAAATGGTGACAGTTATTAAGCCAGTGTATATGATGGGCCTTAATATAGTATTCTACCTTGGAATCTTAAAGAAATCCTCTTCTGTAGCATCTTAATACAGTAGTTTGCCTAGGCATTACGCTTTGTCCAACCTGAGATATTTTCAGAAATAATGCTCTAAGATTTCAGATGTCTCTCTAATACTTTGCTTCATAAAACCTGAATCAGAGTAATAGACAAAAGGTACTAAAATAAGATTTAAATGAATATTTTTGTAAATCTGTAATAGAAAAGAACTTTCTAAAGAGGGACTCCAAATCCAGAAATCATAAGTTGGAATTTGACTACTTCAAACACTTCTATAATAAAAGTTTTATCAGTTTAAATAGAAAACTATAAAATGGTAAAAACCATTTACAATATATATGACAGTGAAAACATTTTTTATGAAGAAATCTCTTAATGTAAATCAGCAGCTGCCCAATATAAAGATTGGAAAAGATTTGAACTGGGATTTCATAAGAGAATGCATAAATGACCAGTAAACAGATGAGTTGATGTTTCATGTCACTGGTAGTCAAAGAAACAGTGCCTGTTTTTTTGTTTGTTTTTTGTTTTGTTTTGTTTTGTTTTTTGCTTTCAGGGTTGTTGTTTTTTTTGCCATTAAAAAGATGGCCATATTGAAGAAAATGTAATAACTACACATGTATATGCACTGATGAAGCATTTGTGAATTTATACTTTCTGTATGCATAAACATTTATAATGTGATTACCCTATGACCCAGAAATTTTACTTCTAGGAATATATGCCAAAGATGTAATTATGAGTATGCGTAAAGATTTAGCTACAATTATGCTCATCATTACTATAATTAAAAGTTGTGAAGCAATCAAAATGTGTAATAGAGAGATAGTTACATAAATGTAGCACATTGATAGAAGGAACACTAAGTGGCCATTAAAAACAAAGTCCTTTTGAATTCTTTGCTATGGAAGTTTGTCTGTGAAATATTGTTAAATAAGGAAGTAGATTACAAAATAGCATTTATGTCAAGGATATATAGTAACATGTTAAACACTTACTTGTGTGTTAGATAGTTTGCTAAATGCTTTATGTTGATTGTCTCATTTAGTTATAACATTCCTCTGAGTAAATAGTAAATAGTCCTATTTTATAGATACCAAGCATTGCCAGCAGCAAAAAAGTATAAGATGCAGAATTGATAAGGTAGGTGTGGATACAAAACTTCAGGAAGCGGTAATCTGTGTTTAAGACAGTTACATGATCAGGTGGTAAGTTACAAAGTTCAGATAAAAATATAGAGATAGGCCTGGGTCATGGAGTGGGGTTGTATATAAGATGGGTAATGTTGAATAATATTCATGTTTCATAAAGAAGATACATGGAGAAAATAAGTATTGAGTTGACACGGAACGCTGGATAGGCAGTGACTGGAAGTAGAACACATTCTGCAGGCAAAATAGCCTGAGCAAGCAGCAGATGCAAGAATGAGCAGCTTGGAAATGTGCAGTTCGGAAAGGTGTTGGCTGGTTTTCCTGAAGACAAAGGAATTAAAGTAAGGTGAGACCAGATAATGGAGAGCTTCCACTGTGAAGTGTTTATGTAGATGTGTAAATGTATCTAGATACATTTATTTAGATACATATAAGAAAGTATTTGAAGGCCTTCTACAAGGCTTAGTTATACTGGTTTACTACAAGTTCTACTTCAGTTTCTATTAGAAATGTTAAGGAGGCTCTTGTGATCAACTCTGTGCCTAACAGATTTGGAAGCTCCTACTACATATTGTGGGTTTTATTTTCACTTTTTAAACTGTATTTTTATAGTGCACTTAACAGCATTCCATGGATTTTTACATGAAAACTGATGAGCTTAATTAGTGTGAGCAGGCCTCTGCATGTTTCTGAACAGAGTTCTTAATTAAGAAACTCAGCCTTGGGTGGGGCTTTGGCCATTGTGTAGTCTGTCTTCCCACCCCAGTGAAGGAATTTCTCCTATAATAATTCCCAAAGGAGATTATTCCTAATTATTTACCTAAAATAATGAATAGAGGGAGGAAGATGAAGACCTAATTAGTTGCTTACGCCAACATTTAGAGTAGCCTATTTCATCTTTGAAATACATATTTATAACTGAATGAAAATTGAGAAGCAAGCTTTTTTTTTTTCAGATTTGTACTTGTTAGAAAAGAATCACTCATAACACTAAATCATCATTTAATTTAATCTTCGAGGTAACTTTGTCTTTTAATCTTCTATGTAACATTGAATATCTATCATGATATTAACTAGTTTCGTCATTTGAGTTGTTTTATAATGCACTCCTTATAGATGGAAGAAGGTTATATCTGACTCAGCAGGCGATGTGTTAAGGATACATTCAAAAATTCTGGTTTGGTAAAAGATTACATCTCTTTAATGGTAATGGTTTAAATCACATCTTTTAAAATTTGAAGTAGTACTCTACCTAAGAGCTAAGTTATTACCAGCAACATATACCTCCTCTAAATAAAAAAGACATAATGATAATTTCTCATAAACCTAGAATGAAGATTTATCTAGTTCTATGTACCTGGGATTGCCCCCTTGTCAAACTGATTTTATCTACTTAACATATAGTATATTGTTGGTAGAACTGGTATTTCAGAACAAAGCAGAAGATACAAACAAAGTTTGTTAAGTGTAAATCTAATTTACGAAGCCATCCAAACACAAGAAATTGTAGGAATGAATTTTAAATCACATGTGAAGTCAGTAGTATTGTTAGAGGAGACTTAGTCAAGGAAGACATTTTGGAGAATTTCCAAAGAGCAAAAATATGGGCTTTGGTGGTCCAAGGAAGGTTTCCATCTAGAAGAAGTGGCAAGTGGCTGAGTCTCTGAATCCACTGAGTCTTGGACTGTTTATATAATCTTTGTAGTTCTAGATATAGCATAATGCCTCGTGCATAGTGGCATTCAAAAAATATATAGTGCCTTGAAGATATTGTAAAGAGTAGGAAGTAGACTTCAATAATCTTCAGTATAGTGCAGCCATTCAAAATTCAGTTTAGGATTA